GAGTAGGGAACAGAACAGGCAGACTGAGGAAGTACACTGCTGAGGGGAGCAGTGGGCAGGTCAGGAGAGGTCTGCAGCATCATGTGGATCACCTCCCTGGCTGGGGATCAAACTTGTGTGGCAGTGGCTGCATAGCTTCATAGTGCTGTGCTTTAAAGGGTTGCATCACTAGGGAGGGCCTACCAATCAATTTTAAATTGCTGAAGTATTATATTATTTATGTAAGCATTGTATATCTACATCTGTATCATTTCATGTCATTCAAAACAAATTAATACTTTTCTCTGTAAAGTTCTTATATGTCTTTCATTAAATTGATTGCTAAAATCATATGATTGCCAGTATGAGTTATTTCCTTTCAACTAAAGAAATCCTGACCAACACAGGTAGGGTGTCAGGAAATTATGGATAGCACAAGAGACACATCATCTTTCAGGGGAAGGCTGGGACACATTTTTAATGAATTAGACAATGGGGGAATTTTAATAATTTAAAACCAGAAGCAGACATAAGCTGAGTTGAAGTTTGCATTGATGATTCTTTATCCAGGTATACCAGGATTTTCTTCTTGGTTCAGGGAAGATGTGATAGGCCTATACAAAGATAGTTGCAGTGTAGATGGAGAAGAGGAAATGGATCTGTTATAATCTAGAGTGGGTTTGATTTGATGACAGAGTTGAATCAATTATGGTAGATGAGAAAGAGTTAATGATTCCCAGATTTCTACTCAAAGGGTTAGAAGAAAACTAATCTAGAATTAGAATGGGGAACAATAGAGGTGGTGAGTTCTGGTTGGCATGAGTTTAAAATATAGTTTGGATATGATGGTAATATTGACAACTACCTCACTGGTTGGGATGAAATTTAAATAAATTACTATCTCATGAAGTGCCAGACATCGTAAGCACATAACATTCCCTTAGATGGAGCTGCACTGTATCTTCAATTTTCTAACTTAAGTGAATCCAGATAAACATCTGCTAATTTTCACTGAATTTCTATGTTCAAATACTTTTTCATAAAAATAGTTTACCTAGATACTGCCAACATGCCCTTTCCTGTACATTCACCGGAGGGGCAAAGGTCCTCCACTTTCCAGTGGGCCTGCCTGCCAGCTGCGCTCTCTTTACACACATACACACAGCCCACTCCCTTTTTTCAGTGGTATATAGTGAGCCATGAAGAATTTATTAAAAGGGTACTCCCTGGTGGCACAATAGGCTAAAGCACAGCACTATGATGTTGTAGCTGCCACTGAAGCACGAGTTTGATTCCCAGCCAGGCAGCTGACCCACACGGCACAGCAGACCTCTCCTGACCCACCTGCTGCTCCCCTCAGCAGTGTATTTCAGTACACCTGCTTGTTCTGCTCACTACTCTGTCTCTGGTGAATCCTCTCGCCCCCTCACCTCTGGCCTGTACCCCATTTCTGTATATATAAATAAATATTTTTTTTAAAGAATTTATTTACAAAGCTGAAAAACCACAGCTAAGTCTTAAGATAGGGAAAGGGGAATAGGTAATATTTCATCTCTTAAAAGAAATCTGAGGGCCCTCCCTGGTTAAAGCACAGTACTAAGAAGCTAAAGCCACTTCAGCATGAGTTCGATTCCTGTCCCGGAGGTCAACCACATGGCACGGCAGACCTCTCCTGACCTGCCTGCCGCTCCCCTCAGCAGTGTATTTCAGTACACCTGCTTGTTCTGCTCACTACTCTGTCTCTGGTGAATCCTCTCACCACCCCTACACCTCTGGCCTGTACCCCAGTTCTGTAAGCATAAATGAATAAATCTTTAAAAAAAAAAAAAAAGAAATCTGAAGCAAATTCAGCTACTGAGATGTGAGAAGCCAGGATAGTGGTTAACTATTTTATTCTCTCCACTTCTATTTAAAACATTGGAAATAAATTTTAGGAGTACTTACAGTGGTGGGGAGGATAACATGGCTGTGATAAGTGTATATTAATTATGTGAAAATCAGCAAAGCTAATGAACATGTTAAATGAAAAATGCAGAAGACACACATGTAAAAAGGATTCATCAAAAAAGAATTTTAACAAACTATGAAGATATATATGTGTGTACAGATACTTATACATACATATGTATAATACATATAAGTCATGAAAAATTAAACATTTCATTGAAATTAGTTAACATGTATTTGTAATACATATATTTATTTAAAAAGTATTAATTTACAACCTTTCAGATTTTGTTTATAGAGAAGAAAATACAGATTGATTTTAATAAAGCACTCAATTCCTACCTTCTTTATGAAAAAAAAAAAAAAAAGTATGTGATACACATTGTCATGGCCATTATTGATTAAGCTTACAAATGATATTGACAAAAACTATGAAAATCTAAACTTTAGAGTGGTGGTAATGCTGCTACCGAGTGTATATTTCTACATTAATATAAATTAAATTCAATCACTATACATATATAGTACCTTTCCCCTATCCTTGAACTTTCCTCTTTCTCTTGCTGGCACTCACCATTGCTGCGAAGTACCTGGTCCTTCACAAGTTCCAAGTCCTTTGCTAGCCTATCCCCATGCTAATCCGCCAAGGTGCTGCGAAAACACCAGATTCCAAGAAGAGAAGGGTCCTGGGAAGGGGAGAGGCCCAGTCGCCCTTCCAGCTTCGGTTCACTCCTTTTTACCCTTTCCCCACTAGGCTTGTTTTGAATCCCTAGTAGATTTCAGGTCAGAGCAGCCCTGACTCTGTGCCAGGAAATCAGTCTGGGCCTTTCCTCGCCCCCTGGTGGTGACAGAACACAAGTAGTTCTAGTCCTGTGCAGAGTAGGGTGCTGGAGACACAGGCCAGGTGAAGGGAGAAGTGATGGGGAAGTGTTGGGTCTGGTCAATGCAGACCCCCATCTCTGACATGTCAGCAGTCTGATGATGACCTTCAGGTAAATGCGTCGAGCTCAGTGACCCAGAGGAACAGTGGTGGAGGTGGGAAACAGCCCATCACACCACCAAAAGGACTTAGTCAGCCACAATATTTTGGTGAAACATTTCAGACAATGTTTGCAATAGGAATAGGAAAGCACAGAACCTTACTGCTTCAACACAGTGTTTTCAGGGTCTCTTTCTTCATCGATTTGAGACAACTTGGTGTCTGTTCCTATAGGGTTATCTCACTCCTAGTTTGATCAAGAAACAAGCACAGGCATTTGAGTTACCAGCATGTCTGCGGGATCCTTGCCTGAGACCACCCCACTGGTATCTGTGGCAAGAGGTAAGAAGGGGGTCCTTTGGTGGGGGCAGATAGCAGTTTTATCTCATGTCTCTCTAGGCCAGAGCCCTGGTGTTAGCTAATCTGGACTGTGTGAAAACCCTGTCCTCAAGAGGGCCCTGCAGACAGAAGGTAATGGCCCCCCCACCCCTAACCCCTTCAGAAACAGCTCAAGAATAGCGCTAGCATCCTTTAACCTGTTTCCCCAAAGAGTATGGTCAAAGGACTGAAGGATGCGGTTTAAGAATTCCATTGTATTCATATCCCTCCTGGGGCCTACCTTCCCCAAGTTTCTGCATCCACTGGGCTGGAAACTTTCTGAAAGAGATGCCTGACACTTCTCATTGTCTTTCTAGCCTGCGACCAGGTAAAAGAACTGAAATAATGATTAAAGAAATCCTCATCTAGAACAGCTGCTGAACACTACTGCCCAAGTGACACTGGGGCACATCACTTCTGAACCCACCAGGGGGCAGTCCAGGTGCACAGTGAGCTATTTCTCCTAGGTTATACTCCACAAGCACAGAAACCTCTTCCAGAGCCACTCCTTCCTCTCTTGCTCCCTCAGGGGTCCTGTCATCGTCTCAGCTCTTCTCATCAATTTTTTAAAATAAGATTTATTGGGCCCTCCCTGATGGCGCAGCGGGTTAGAGCACTGCACTGAGAAGCTGGGGCCACTTCCGCATGAGTTCAATTCCCGCCTGCCTGGGAGGTGACCACATGGCGTGTAAGACCTCTCCTGACCCTCCCGCTGCTCCCCTCAGCAGTGTACTTCGTCAGTCGGCCTGTTCTGCTCCCCACTCTGTCTCTGGTGAAGCCTCTCACCACCCCTGAGCCTCTGGCCTGTACCTCAGTTTTGTATGCACAAATAAGTCTTAAAAAAACAACAACAAAAAAACCTTTAAAATAATATAAAAAAGATTTACTTATTTATACATACATAACTGGAGTACAGGCCAGGGGTGAACAGGTGAGAGGATTCACCACAGAGTGGGGAGCAGAACAGGCAAAGATGTACTGAAATACACTGCTGAGGGGAGTAGCGGGTGGGTCAGGAGAGGTCTGCTGCCCCATGTGGGTCAGCTCCCCCACTCATGCTGCAGTGGCTGTGATAGCTTCATAGTGCTGCACTTTAACCCACTGCACCACCAGGGAGGGCCCTGTGTCATAAAATTTGAAGTGTTATTGTTATGAAAATAGGTGGGAGGAGGGGGTGAAATTTGCTAGTGCTTTAGGGGATTAACCAGGGCCTCTAGGAACCAAGTATAGAGGTGTTAAGACCACATATGCATTCAATAAAATTTAAATAATGGCCACATGAAATTGAAGTGACAAGCAGCTCAAAGTAAAAGACAAGCTCTAGGAAAGGGACGTGTGAAGGTATGTATGGGGGAGTGGCTGTATTGTGACCAAGTTGGGTCTGGAGCCCATGTAACTGCCCAGAACTTCTCTGTGCCCTAAAATCTCTTATTTCATATACAGACACTTTTTTTGAGGCTTAACTGGCCCTTTGAGGGGACTGACCAGACTGAGAATGGGGCCTGTCTGGACTACAGAGGTAGGAGGCACCACATACCTCAGAGGCTGAGTAGGGCAAGAAGAGGACTACTGTGGGCTTCATTCCCACCCTCTGCTCCTAACTTCTCTTTGGAGGCACATACTGGGCCCCTCTAAGCCCATCACTCAGGGGCAGAAGGCCAGGCCACACAGCTCCCCCATCCCAGGCAGTCACTTTTTTAAACACAGGTAATCCATGTTCATTATAGAAAAATGGTATATCACTCTTTATTGGACGCCAGCACCAGCACTAGCCCCCTTCTCTCCAGGCACAGGGCATGCAGGCAAGGGGCTCCATGGCCCGGGCGGGGTGCAATAGAAGCCTGGCCCCACTCTCACTCTCCTAGGGCCAGTACCTCCTTGGCCTGAGGCTGCTCGCTCAGGTGTGTTCAAACTCCTCTTCACAAAAGCCTACACCGAGGGGCTGGGCCTGGACACCTCGCCTGCAAGAGGATATAAAGAATCAGAATGCTTCAGATGGGAGTCAGCAGTACCTTCTTTACCACAACCAACAGTCTCCCCTCTTTCCTGTCCATGGGTCTCAAGCTGTCACAGTATACCAAAGTGACTCGGGGACCTCACTTCCAGAGATTCTTGCTTAGGCTGTTGGCAGGAATTTGCATTCTATAGGAACACCAGGAACTTGGGGGAACACTTCTCTGTTTCTAATCTTCCAGGATATCTCCCAAGCCCAAATAACTCAGTCCACTTGGAAAAGAGCTAGAGGCCAGTGCTCTGGGCCCATGAGCCCCCTTCATGACTGAGATGCTGTTAAGTGCAGTGGCAGTTACAGACTGAGGTACTATCCAGTTCATGCACAGGATATGAGCAAGATGTCCTGTCCGGAAGCCTCAGTTTCATAAGTTCCAAGACTTGACCACTCTCCTGAAGGGACCGCTAGGCCTGCCTCCTTTATTTTCCAAACAGGCAACATGGTTAGTGATAGGAAGGAGCTCAAAGTCTCCCAATGAATCACAGACACTTGAGGCTTAGACCCACCACAGTTGGCCAGCAGTCAGGACTCTGCTCTGCACCAGACCTAGCCGATGAATGACCTGGTCAGGAAAATTAGGACCCACATCCAACAGGTGTTGTGAGAGTCCATTTGAAAGCACAGCCATAGCCTAATATGCAGACTGCAGTCAGCCTTGTTCAAATTCTGATTCTGAGCAATTCTGGGGCAAGTCAATTAACTTCTCTATGCCTCATGTGCCTTTCTTTAAAATGTGGACTAAACTGTATCTGCCTCAGAGAAGAGTAATAAAGATTCGAAGAAATGACACCTGTACAGGGCTGAGCACAGTGCTTGCCACACAGAAGCCTCTGTACGTGTAGCCATTGTTAGCATTCTTGTCTGGTGGGTAAGAGGTCCCTTCCTTTGACCAGCCCACACCCCATGGAAAGGCCCCAGGGCTACTTACCTCAGCAGCTCACAGCGAAAGTTTGTCAAACGCTTAAAGGCAAAATCCAAGTCAGTCACAAACTTGTTGCTCCATAGCCTCTCGGCTACAGCCCCTCCTCTGGGCCTGGAGGAAAGAGGGTGAGCACCAAGTTAGGTCCTGTACTCCCTACAGGGCAGATGGACACCCACAAGTGACTGCCTTTTGTTCAGGCACTAGGCCGGCTCAGGGTCAAGGGATGAAGATGACACAGCGTATGGAACAACAGCCTGGCTGGAGCGCTCCCGGGGACTTCTAGGGTTCGGCTCCATCTTCATTAAAATGTGGGCCATGACTCCACTGCCCACATCTTCCAAAGATATAGGAGCCACAGTAGGTTTAATAGCATCATGAATTGGTGGTATTCTTAAATTAAATTCTACACCCAATCGAGCTTGGTGAAGTTGCTGAAGGAGTAAGGGAAAGTCTTTTAGGAGCTACAACTTCAGTGCTGGATCCTGAGCTCATCAGCTGTGTGTCTTTCTGTAAAGTGGGGTTAAAGTCTTCTCTGCCATATCTAATAGGCTTTCTTCTATCTGGCAAGTAGAAGCTAGGTGGGAGGATGACTGCAATGCCCCCTCTCTCTCAGGCCTGAATAAGGGGCTAGTCTGGGTGTCTGGAGAGGATTGAGCTGGTAAGGGAGAATCCCTGCCCCATGTCCACAAGACCCACCCTCCACATCTCCAGAGAAGCCTTACCAGAGCCTGGGGACCAGGTTTGTGCTGTCCACATACTCCCCCCACATACATGCCTCTCCACCAATCACCAGCTCCTTCTGCTTAGAAGTACCTGAGTGACAACGATCAATAGGCTGCTGTTGGCGGTGGGGTAACTCTAAGGTTTCCCCTCAGTCACCATCCCAAGGGAGCCCCCTTCTCAGGAAGGTCATTTTGTCTCCAAACCTAAAGTGTCTAGCCCAGACCTTCCCACCCTCTGCCCCAGCCTCTTCCCTGCTTTCACCTTCAAATGCCAATGGCTCCACCATATAGATTTCCTGCCAATCAGGGCCATAAGTTATGCGGTTCAGGTACCAGGGGGCAGAAAGCAGGGCCCGGTAGCCTGCCTTGGTGATCAGTTTCAGTTCTTTCAGGTAGTTCACCGGTATCTCTTCTCTCCACACCTGGACAATTGTATCTGGTCGTATCTGTCACAAAAGTTCAAAGGGCAGTAACAGTATGTAGCTGCATAAGATTCCCTTAGGAAGGTAGCCTCTGCCAGGGGTTATGCCTCTATATTCCTTAGCAGCCAAGTAGTTCTCTGTGATTCCTAACCATTGAGCTCCTAGCCCAGCACAGAGGCCAAGGACTCCATAGGTTGTAAGAAACTACCTGCAGTTTCTTCCCCTAGCCCTTCTGCTCCTCCTTGTCCACATTTAGATATTAATACTGGCTATGAGCTAAAGAGACAAATGGGAGGGGAGACCCAATAGAAGTTACTGTACCTTAGTCTCTAGATGTTTCTGAGGATGGGTCAAGGCCCCTACAGAGTTCCTGCATGTGGCAGGAAGGTGGGGTCTTACTGAACAGTACCACATGAGAAGGGTACCCTGGTACCACAAACTGGAAGAGCCTAGTTAGAAAAGAAAACCCACCCCACCCCAGGAATACAGAGTAGCCTAGTGGCTTGATCAATGTAGCAAGGGAAAGTAGACAGGGGCTCTGACAGCCACAGTTCCACAACCTTTTGAGGGGAGATATGGCCGAATCCAGACTAGGAATTCATGCAGAGACCACGGAAGGGCTGAGAGACCAGAGGGAGGTACTGCAGGTGGCTCCTTCTCTCTCTGCCCCTGGCTCACCTTGACTTTATTATCAAACACTTCCTGCCACACCACGTAGCCCTTGCCATAGGCAGAGACAATGTCCAGCAGCCTGGAGAATAAAGAAAGTGCCTGCTCAGTTCAGAACAGGCTCTGTGCTGATGGGGCCAGTGCTCTAGGGGTTGAGCTCGGTTAGGGGGTTTATTCCTAAGTGAGCAATGCTTTTCCAAGTTGGGAATTGACCACTCCAAGACAAAGATGGTAAAACAAAAGGACCTCTTTGGAGGTCCAGGAAATGGTCAAGGAGGAGGTGGCCCTAGTATAAAAAGTGAGGATCCCACAGGAGGTGACCCCCCAGAGACCATGCCCAACCCTCCCTCCTTTCCTCACCTCTGGATATAGTAGGACTCCAGCTGCTTGAAGTCATCACCAAAGCCTCTCTCCTTCATAAAGGCCTGGACATCTGGGTTGGACTTCCTGAATCACAAGAGAAAGTGAAGATTAATTCTTTCAGTATCCTCAAACTTCAAAGCCTGAGGATAGCCACTTGACCTCCCAAAACTTTCCCTATTTTCACCTAATAAACCAATCAGCTGAGAAGCTTAGAAGCACCAGATATGGAAGTTGTGGATGAACAAAGCTATATGAATGGGGCCACTGACATAAGCTGGGATAAGTCTGTCCTTGAAGGGCTTGGAGGTCAAACGCTAGAAGAGAACATTTATCCATCATTGTACATGTGATTCTGAGTCTTGGCTTGGGTGCTTACACACAGGATGTTGATGTCCCTTTCTAGCATGTATTCTGCTTCTCCCCTAAGAGTTATTCTTTATGCCAGCAGCTGGACACAAGTTGCTATGTGTTAGCTGCTGTAGTTCCCTTGTTGTGTAATATCAACATTCTTCCTGGAATTTTTGTCCCCTCCTCCACATCTGGAAGAAGTCAAAGGATTTCCTCAAGTCCACACCCATGCTCACTTGTCTAAGAAACCCTGCAACTTCCTTAAGTTAACTGGACCTGAATATGTGGACCTTACAACTTAATACTAATCAGGCACTGCAATTTATTAATCTCAAATTCAACTGTATCTTAACATTTCAACTGAACTATTGTAACCTTCAAAAGCACGATTGTTTCGGCCCTCCCTGGTGGCGCAGCGGGTTAGAGCACAGCACTAAGAAGCTGGGGCCACTTCCGCATGAGTTCGATCCCCGCCTGCCCCGAAGGTGACCACGTGGCATGGCAGACCTCTCCTGACCCGCCCGCTGCTCCCCTCAGCAGTGTACTTCGTCGATCTGCCTGTTCGGCTCCCTGCTCTGTCTCTGATGAAGCCTCTCTCCGCCCCTGAGCCTCTGGCCTGTACCCCAGTTCTGTATGCACAAATAAATAAATCTTTAAAAAAAAAAAAAAAAGCATGATTGTTTCTTCCACTACTGGACTTTTCCAAGAGGGAGCTATGTCCAGGGCTGGTTTTTCCCATAAGCATTTTGAGGATAATTCAGGCAGAAGGGAGAATTTTATACTCACAGCCTTGCTAAAATCAAGTAGGGTCTCCCTGTCAGTGGGCATAGGAAGGACCCAAAGCTGCACCACATGCACTGAGAGAAATTGCTGAGCTTTAGCTCCTGGGGAACACCTGAGACAGGCAGTCTCTTGGGAGCTAACATCTACTCTGACTAAGCAGTTCACCTGCCTAAGATAGGAAGATCTGTGGGTTCATACCAACATGTGAAGTCAACCTCATCTCCTCCAAGGTGAATATAAAAATCTGGGAAGACAGAGCTGATCTCCAAGAAGAATGTGTTCATGAATTCATAGGTATTGTTGAGAATGGGATTCACAGGTCCAAAGGTCCCAGAGGGCTGAGATCCATGATAGCAAGGAGTCAACAGTCCAGGGACGCCTAGGTCAACAGAGAACCGCACACATGTCACAAATATACAGACCTGTGTGCAGAGTCATACACAGAAAGACGTGATGTCACACAAAGTAAGATGATTATGTTCATACACCTTACCCACACAGGCACTTTAGGCACTCACAGACACTGGTAATTATGAGCATTTAGTCACAATCAAAGAAATACAAATATCTGCACAATCATGGACAGAGGCTGGGCCCCACCACAGTCAGCACACACAGCTGCCTTGAGACTCCCAATACTGCTCTCCTCTTATCACCTTTAGGCAGAATTTCGGTGAGAGAACCTAAAGCAGCCAAAGTGGCAAAAACTCTCTTCCCTTCTAAGGCACACCCTGCAGGGCATTAAGACAGGGACATCTGAGAAAATCTGCCCATATTTTAATAGTAATAAATGTGTGCCCCTCCCACCCCGGTGGAGCAATGGGTTAAAGTGCAGCACTATGAAGCTAACTGCAGCCACTGCAGCAGGAGTTCGATTCCCAGCAGGGAGGTGACCCACATGCTGTGGCAGACTTCTCCTGTCTCACCTGCTGCTCCCTTCAGCAGTATACTTCAGTCAATCTGCCTATTTTTTCCCCACTCTGTCTCTGGTGAATTTTCTCACCCCCTGCACCTTTGGCCAGTACCCCAGTTTTTGTATGTATAAATAAATGAATCTTTAAAAAAAAAAAAAAAAACAGTAATAAATGGCCTCCTTTGCTCAAAGGAAGTTCTGCCTATCTAAATGCCCAGGTGAAAGAAGTTGATGGAAAACATTCTTGCAGGAACTAAGGCTGGGGTGCACCACATTCAAGATCTAGTGTCTTGAAGTACCCCAGAAGGGGATCAGTGGACTCCCTCCAACCCCAGACATTATCCTCACCTTGTCCCCAGGAGAGAGTGTGGCCAGGAGTGTCAAACTCTGTCAACACACGGATACCCCGAAGTCGTGCATACTCAATCACCTCCTTCACATCTTGTGCTGTGTAGATGTGGGTGATAGGGTTGTAGGACCCCTAAAAGACACAGACACCATCAGGATCTCATTTCCCAAAGGCTAGCAGGGTAGAGGATACTTTAAATACCTCCAGGACTCTCTAGAAAATCTACACACAGTCTTTTGCTATCAGGGATCATCTTCATGGAACTTTATTATCATTTTCTCAAACTATCACATGTACTGTTTCACCTGAGTATTATAATGTCAGTGAAATGAACAAAGCAGGCATCAGCCCAAATAAAAAGAAAATGAAATCAGGAGAGATTATTTCCTGAAGGTCACAGAGCAAATTAAGGCAAAGTTTGGACTTAAAGTCTCCTGAATCTAAATCCAGTGCTGCCTTTCTGCTAGGTTAGAGTGTCCCTAAAACTGGCTGATCACAATAAGGGCCAGCAGTGTCACAGCCAGCCAGACTCAACCACTTGGTCTGGGCAGAGTGCAAACATACCTTTCTGGTGAGCTCTGGAAAGGTGAAGCTCTCATATGGGAAGGAGGAGTCATCAACCATATGCCAGTGGAAGACATTGAATTTATTGTAGGCCATGACATCCTGTAGGCCAGAGCATACAATTTGAACTCAGCAGTCTTGTTTTAGCCTCTAACATGGGAAGCTGGACAAGCTGGCAGGTTGTTCCCTGCACCACAACAGGCTCAACTTGCTTCAGATGCCTAGTTGCTGTTTAGACAGTTTCTCTAGCAAATCTTACCCAGAGGCACCTGACTTGGAGAGAAGACCTAGCACATTTCTTCTTTTTTGCAGAGCACATTCAACGATGGCCAACAATGCAGAATCCCCTCTTTCTGAGAGAAGATCTAGCCACACCGAGGAGGGCTCAGTTATATGGTACCCTGGGTTATTCCAAAAGCCCCCAAATAGTCAAAGACTAAGGGTTCCTCTTGTTTTAGGTCATCTGGTTTATTTTTATACAAACTGTGAGGTCTGTCATGAATGAAGTAGCCCAATGATCCATGATTTTTAGAAGGGATTTGTTTACTTCTTTGGTTCTACCAGAAGAGCAAAGGAAAAAATAGAGACCCAAGCTGAGTTGGTAACTGTCACATGAGACCATCCACCAAACTCTAGGTTTGGAACTTCCGCAGTTAAGGCTTTTTTTTAATGTCTCTACTATACAACCTCATCCCGAGCAAACTAAAGTTAGCTCTGCTAGATCAAAGAAGTCAATTTCCCAGACCACTTTTTATATCCCAGGAAGAGAGTCTCGATACTGGCCCACAGTAACCAGAGGAAGCCTTAAATCACTCTTGTTATTTTTTTGAGTCTGGCAGCAGGTCATTTTTTTCTCCTAGAGGCACACAAAGTTACATACATTGTCTCTGTAATTCTTTAGGAACATAGTACCTCGTCTACCCTTAGTCCCAATATCCCATAACCTTAAGGGCAAAGAAGGCCATAAGGTGTGGGTACCAGAGTGTCCAGGATGCTGGTCAGAGGCAGGTAATGGCGAGATGTGTCCAACAACAAGCCCCGGTGGGGAAAGCGGGGAAAATCCTCAATCTCCGTCTTATTGATAAAGAACTGTGAGGGCCAAACATGGAAGAAGTTAGGACTCAAAAGGAATTTACTGTGAGGATGGAGGGTTGGACTGATGACAAGACTCTTAAATCCACCTGGGACTAACTACAGACACCCTGTAGCAAGCTAACTAGCTCTTAAGTGCCCACACTCACCTCAGTGGTCATACGTCAGCACCCACCAGCAAGTACCTGTCCCAAGGCAGCCAAATAGAGTTGCCCTAACACCACCTGGTCTACAAATCATGGGTTTTCACTGACTGTTAATGTTTATCTTTTTCAAAGCAGTGTGATCTCAAGATCATTACTGAATAATGACTCAGCGGAACTAAGCTATATCCATTCTAAACAGGCCAAATCGACCAACTAGGCTCTTCCCTTGAGGTCATCTTTGAGCCACAAGGACTCTGTCTAATGCTATTTCCATAACTCTCGACATTGGGAGCAAACCCCAGAGATTTAAAAAGGGCCCCTTTGAGGGGCCACACTCACCGTGCCCTGAGGTGCCCTCCAAATGAGTTGGCTAAAGGTCTCCAGACCTGAAGGAAGTGGGGAGGCAAAGCAAAGACAGGGAGGTAAGAAAAAAGATGCATCCCTTTGGGAGGCCCCCACATGGCAGAGCATACTGCTTGGGCACACGTGAAAGTGAGGGTTACATGGACTTGATGACTCTCAACACTTATGAACTGGGGAAAGGAAAGCCAGTACTTATTTTTATTTTATATTTTATTTGAAGAGATGGCAGTATTAGTGCCTCTCTTAGCTAACCCTCAAAACCCTCTTATCTCTATTTCCTAAGCCTTGAACTCACAAGAACATTAAGGTTTTCCATGGGTCATGCCCATCACAAGTCATGGAAAGTGTTGCTCCTTCACTTCTTCTATATTAAACTGTGAGGAAGTGAGTATAAGCTTGAGTTTCCAAGGAGCCTGGTCAGGACACAGAAGACAGGGATCCATCGCTTTTGCTCTTCAGAGCTTAACAAGAATCCTCACCATTAGGAACTGAGGGGTGGAGGCAGCAGCTGCCCTGGGACTGCCTGTTCTGCCTCCGAGATCCATAGGAGGCATGTGGAGGCCAGAACCTTACATGCTCTCAGCAGCTAGAGCCCAGCAGAAGCCCTGTGAAGGATTCCCAGAGTCCCACGCTTTCAGACTGAAAGATTCCGTGAGACTGCAGCATCTCAACCGGGGCTGATTGCATGGATACTGTCTGGGTTCATCTCCGCTCTGATTTTGACACCCAAGGTTCTGAAGTCCCAGATCACCTCCTTCCCCAATCTGATCAACCATTAGCATCTGCATAAAAGGTGCAAATTTGGGGTGGGGGGACATGGCTGCTATGCCGTTTCTCAAAAACTTAAGGGAGGTTGTAGAGGAGCAGAGAGATCCCTTCATCATTCACCAGCAGAAAGGAGTAGAGTTATTTGACTAAATCTATATCTAGGGAACATTATCTTTTCAGTTAACTAAGAGGAAGGGCACAGGTCTATCACCTGTTAGCTACTAAAGCCCTCATTTTGCTCTATAAGCAATGTAGTTTTATATATTTTGTTTACCTTTGGGGGGACATTTACATATTGTTTTTGATAAAGTTTTCCATTTTAAAGAAACTTTCCTATTAATAGTCTTTCATGAGAGCTGGGCAGGCAGTGTCTGTGTCTGTGTCCTGCCCCTACTAGACCCTGAGCAGTAGCTTCCGGCTCTCCCACTGCTTCTCAGAGCTTCTGCTGCTGTACAGGTTAAAACCTCTCAACTTCTAGGGACAGTTGTGAGGAAAACACCCCCAGCAGGGAGATGGGGAAACAGTCCAGCTGGTTTCCAGAAAGAAAATTTCCTAAAGTCAGATATTTGGGCCCAGGCCTGTCCTCCCACCTCCACCATCATCCATTCTCTGTCTCTGTCAGCATTGCTATCTCTCTCTTTCTCTCCCTCCCTCCCCACATCAGGCCTCTGCTTACCTCGGAGGGCTCCCCAGACAGTCTCAGACAGGAGGAGACACTGCTCATCATTTATAGTCAGGGTGTCTGAAGTGACAGAAATGACCCCCATTTAGTTAAAAATTTCTATTCTCACATTATAGATAATATATTCAGTATAATAATGTGACCATTTTTCAAAAAAAAAATCTTTCAAAGAGGAGATATCCATAGAAACAAATAGCAGCAGGTCAATCAACCTGGGGCCAGAGTGTCTCTGTAGGCCCTGGAAGTGGTGTGAGAGGAGGATCAGGCTGGAGCACAGTACTCTGCAAAGCACCACCTGCCTTAAGGGACAGTTTTCCCCTTCAGAAACATGAATCCCATTCAATGTTAGCTGAAAGCATGACATCTCCTATTGACAAAGAGGCCAGGAACACTTGGAGGGCTAAGTGCAGGTTATGATGTCTCCAAGGCCTTTGTCATCCCCTTCTTTTCCTTCTGTCTACAGGCTGCAGCAACTTTATCCAAAAATGAGAGGAAATGGCATGTTTACTTTGGAGACTGAGAAGTTCCCAAATACTGCTGCTCAAGGAAGGCAGGAGGCCCTCAGGGGACTAAGGACCTGGCTTCAATCTCAGTACAAATGACCAAAGCCCCTTGGTCCACAATGTCAGTCTTTTAGAGAAAAATGAGGAAAGCACACCTATTCCTAAATTGGCAGTGGAATTATATACAGTCCAGAAGGCTGGTGTCCTATGGGACTCAACCTTCAGATATAACTAGAGCATAAAAAAAAAAACCCTCGCCTTCTATGGCTCTTGGCACTTGGGGACCGTCAGTCCTCAGTCATGAAGGATTCCAGGCCTAGTACCAGCCATCTAGAGCTGGAGCTCCAGAGGAGTGCATGCTCTTCTGGAAAAAGAAACAAAGAGGTACTTACAATTCTCCACTGACTCCAATGAAGGAAGTTGTTCACAATCAGGAGTGGCCACATAGATAATCAGAAATGACTTCTCTCTTACTTTCTTTTTTTCTGCAAGAACAGGGTAAACACAGTGTGAATGATCTGCTACCAGCACCTAGGTAGGACATTTATATGTTGCTAGAATGTAAATCAATCACGTCAGAGTAAACAGTGTTCAGTTCTACATTTTTAATATGACAATATTTTCCTGAAGAAGGGCACAGTTTTATACTCTGGTGTGCATGTCTTTCAACTTACTGCAGACTGGCACTTTAAGTAGCACTTCAGGAAGGTCTCCTGTCAGGAGGGTCTCCTGTCAGGAGGGTCTCCTGTCAGGAGGTCTCCTGTGCAGGGGTTGCCTGCGATGCCCCAGCTGGTGCCCCAGGGAAGGTACAGGGCAACCTGCTTGTTCTGCTCACCTTTCTCCTCTTCCCAAACAGGAAGAGGTGGATTTCTGACCAGCAGTGGAAAGCCACGCTGTGTGAGCCAACATACAGTCGAATATAGTTCTACAGATTCCAGTCTGTGTAGGAAAAAGCGCCAAACTCAAAAACTAATGCAAAGTCTCTTTCCCCTGTTACCATTTCTTCTTTGTGACCTTCAGGGTGGTTCTGGCTCTACTGCCTCAAGCCTGAACCTCACTGAATTCCTCCCCTCTATTCTTTTCTGGAGCCTCATGCATCCCCATTGTGACAACACCCAGGACTTCCCACAGAACTAGTCAGCGACAGAAGGGACTGGCAGAAGGCAGGGAGAGAGAATTCAAAACCTAGTTGGAATCTCAAATACTATGTTTCTAGACAGAATGAACCCAAGAGAGTTGAGCCATCTCAAGGAAGCCGGCTCAGACTTCCTGAATCTCAGCTCTGAGATCTGCTCTGAAGTGAGCCTATTTTTTTAATCACCACAAGCATATTCCTTTCACTCCTAATAAAAATCCTGTATCCTCATACAAATGCCAGCCTAAATCCTGCAGGGAAAAGGAATATTAAACTAGTTTGGACCAGACCAACTCACAACTCCATTCTGGACCTTAAAAACTCATCCCCAGCATGAAAGACAACCAAACTTTCAGGGCAGACCCCACTCTCAAACCAGAATCTGTCAGGTCATCCCAAGCAACCCATGCAGGCAGGTCTGATGCATGACGACCTGAGATAAGCAGACTGGGAATCTTAGTAAGAACCTTCTGCTCAGTTCCTGGCATGCAACTCAGTCCCTGATATGAATCTTGCTTTAAATTAGACCATGCACTGTTATGAGGCAGGCTGGACCTGGAAGGGGGGGGGGGTGTGTTCCATGACTGACGCTTTACTTACCCTTGATATGCCATTATATGACTCACTTCTTAGAATGTAGTCATGTCATATCTCACCATGTACAGCTACCAATGCAAACCCTCCCGGAACTTTGTAGAAATAAAAGTATATATAAGCCCTTGACTTCCTACAGATGGGGCTCAGCCTTGGGAGGCAAATGTGCTGAATCAGCACCAGTGCATTAAACCTGCTTCTTGTTAGCTCAGGTGTCCAGATTTCCTTTGTGCTATAGAACAGGTCAGATCCCAAAGACCAGGGAAGGCTTAACAGAGGGATAGGGTGAAGAGAACTATATGCTTCCGCATCCCCACAGATCAAGGAGAAACTGCTCTTATCACCCCTGCAGATGCCTCTGCAGAGCTTATCCACATATCTTCCACAGTGGTCATTGAAAAGAGGGCAAGGGGGGGGCTCCCTGTGGCTTAGGGGTCTCCACACTATCAAGCTACTTAGACCTGAGTTCCATCTAGCCAGGGAGGAGACCCACTGTGCAGCAGACCTCTCCTGCTCACCCACTGCTCCCCTCAGCAGTGTATTTCAGTTCTGCTCCCCACACTGCTTCTGGTGAATCCTCTCAACCACCCCCACCTCTAGCTTACACGCCAATTCTTTTATGCATAAATAAATAGAAATCTATTTTTTAAAAAAACAAAAGGAAAAGAGAGCAGAAGTCCTGAGATTTAGCATTAATTCCCTAGGCCTCAGACTACCAAACTGAGGAGAAATCACAACAAATCCACAGGCAACTGCCTGATGACAAGAAAGGCTGCTAGCGCAGCAGATTTATCTGAAATGCCACTTAGGAGATTAAAAAAAAAAAATCATTTTTTTGTTGTTAACATTTTTGTTTTTCTAAACCACACCTGCACACCAATCCCTAAATTTATAGTCCTTTAAAGAAATTACTTTGAAAACGCCTTTAAAGATCTGAAGAAAATGAAAGGACCTTATTTCTAGAAAAATAGCCCTAATTTAAGGGCTCACCCTTCCCCCACTTCCTGCCTTCAATTTTATGAAGATTCCAGTCCTAAGTGCCCCTCAGGGACTCATATGGGTCTGGGCAGATAAAAAAACAGGGCCCAGGGTACTGCTAAGAAGAGAAGGGGGGGGGGAGAGATGTGAGCACTGGCAAAACAGAGGGACACTGGGTCATTTAAAAGGATGTAAACAGAATACCATCATTGTGGTTTCCACCCCACCCCCCAGTTGCTATGCAGAAGAGAGCAGGAAATAGGCAGGAAACAGGCCAGTGCCCAGACACCCACAGCCAGCACTGAGAAGAACTCAGGAGTGAGGAGCCAGGATGGCAAATAGCCCAACCAGTCAGCAATCTCCTGGGATACTCATCATGAGCCCAGGGGGGGACAGCAGGAAATTCTGAAGCCAGTGTGCTCAGGAAGCAGTGTGCAAAACACAGCCGTGAGCTGGGGAGTCAGGAAAGGTTAGTTCTGGTTCTATGGCTGCCAAGTTAAGTGAGTCTCAGGGTTCCCACTTCCTCCCCTGTAAACAATGGCAGGTTGGGACAGATTCCAACTGCTGCTCTTCAAAGCCAATATCTGGTGATGCCAAGGAATAATCACAGATCCCAGGGCCTCCACTCCAAGACCACAGCCTCCTAGTTCTGTAACGGGTGGTCCCTAGGAAAAGAGGAGGTTCCAGGTTCCCTGCCCCACCCAAAGGAGGGTGGAGCTGAGCAGGGAGGAGAAGAATCTGGAGTTAGAGGAGAAAGGAGACTGGATGGAGAGCCAGAGGAGACCTGAAGGAGGCACAGGAAGCAGAGAGTCATGTGAAGAAGCTTTGTCTTGTTTCTTGGCTCTGGACTGGGTGAAACATGTGGGTGACAGCCCTGTAGGGAGGTTTACTATGGCAGCGTTTATCTTGATTTTGATTTTGCTCTTTTCCTCCCAGACTTGTCTGGCCATTTCTGACCCTTTTCTATGAGTCCCCGCCACAAGGTGCTTTAGTCTTGTGGTGGGCTGTCAGGCCTTGCTTTGGGCCAATCCCTTTGGGTGGACTTACCCACGAGGGGACAGGTAACTTCAGGTGTTTGATTTAGAAACTATATTTTTGTCTTTTCTGTATTGCACACTGATTGTATTAGAGTTCCTTTCCATTAAAGGTTTTGTATGTTTTGTCTTGATGCTGCAGACGGCAGAACCCATTTAAAGCAGGCAGGTTTGGGGGTCTAGGGGTGCCCTGGGGTGCCCTTCTCACTGCCTTGTAACAGTTCCATGGCTCCTGCATGCCCCTGCTTTAAAGTTTGTGCTTGTTTGTTTAGAGAGTTGAAAATAAATGATTCAAATGATACAGAAGTGTTTATAATAAAAAAAAAAAAATTGGGGAGGGGCCCTCCGTGGTGGCACAAGGGGTTAGAATGCAGCACTGCAAGCTGGAGCAGCTGTTTCAGTGTGAGTTCGATCCCCTGCCCTGGAGGTGACCCACATGGCACAGCAGACTTCTCCTGACCCCGCCCGCTGCTCCCCTCAGCAGTGTACTTCATCCGTCTGCCTGTTCTGCTCCCCTTTCTGTCTCTGGTGAATCCTCTCGCCGCCCCTGCACCTCTGGCCTGTACCCTAGCTCTGTATACATAAATAAATAAATCTTTAAATCTTTAAAAAAGGAATTAAAAAAAATTTTTGGCACTTCACCCTCAAGCCCCTTGTCAGAATATTAGTTTTCTACCCATGGTCCCCTTCTTAAGCATGCTTTTGCCTCATTCATCACAGACAGATCAGCTCTGCATATGGATCTCAGACCCTTCTTCTATCAAGGTGCCACTGTTATACTTTCTCCATATGCCAGTACTGAGAACCTTCTATTTCCTGTCTGTACTCAGCCTCTCTCATCTTCACTTCATTCCTTGCCAGCCTGAGGGGGATCAGTGGACAATCAGAAGAGAACTTCCATCCACCTCTACCTTTCCTTTTCCTTCCTAACAAAAACATCTGCAACATGCACCTCATCTTTACCTTCTCCTCCTCTCAGGTCAGTGGAAAGGGTATCCTGAATCTTTGCTCAGGATCCTCTTAAATAAATGATTTCTCTTTTTCTAAAGTCTTCATCAGCATGAAAGTGCTTGAAGACTTTCTGTCTCAACTGCACAGCATCTCACCTAGTCATTTTTTTCTCTCACCTTCTGGTCGGAGGAAAACTCTAGAGGGAATAGAGCTGAGATCGTTAGGTATTGAACTCCAAAGTCAGATCTGAGTTCCAATCTTTTCTAGTCATGGGACTCTGGGACAAGTTATTTTCCCTTTTGGAACTGTAATTTCCTCATTCGTGAAGCAGAGATCACTAAGTACCTACCTTGTTGGGCTACTGGAATATTAAATGAGTTAATGCAATCTACCTTTCCGTCCCATTCTTCCTCAGGAGCTTAGGGCCCATACACCTTCACTCAAATGTCTCAAAAATACTTTGAATCTTAAAGCCAAACTGAACTAACTTTTCAGTCCTCTTCCTGGCTGATCTTCTTTCTCCGTTTGATAATAGCATCATCTACTACTTTACCCAGGTTGGAAACCTCTAGTTAGCCAACCTTTTTGAATAGATCCACAAATTTATTCTCTCAGAATATGTAGACTTTCTACCATGTGTCAAACACTGCTAAGCAGTGAGATTACCACAGTGAAAAAAGAAAGACCAATTAAGTCTCATAACTATCTCTTAATACCATCTTCCAGCCCCCACTGGGTCAATGCCTTAATTCAGACTCTTATAAATTCTCTGCTGGATAACTGTAAAAAACCC